CAACAGCCTTGGCCCAGGGCCGATACACATGGCGTCATGACCAGGTGCTAAGAAAGTTGGCGGAGCACACAGAGAACATGAGAGTCCTGGCCAATGAGAAGACAACATCCCAACAGAGGCAGCTGGTCCAGTTTGTAACAGCGGGACAAGCCAAGAAAAACTGCCCTAAAGCAGACAGAGCAGCGGTCCTGACTCCAGGCAAAGACTGGTCAATGAGAGCTGACCTTGACAAGCAGCTACGCTTCCCATTCGACATCACCACCACCACACTGAGACCCGACATCGTCCTGTGGTCCTCAACTGAGAAGCGAGTCCTGTTAGTCGAGTTGACAGTCCCTTGGGAGAAGAACATCCAGGAAGCGTATGAGAGGAAAATGACCCGTTATGCAGAGTTGGTGGCAGAATGTGAAGAGAAAGGCTGGAGAGCATCAACCTATCCAGTTGAAGTTGGCTGCCGCGGCTATGCTGGCCTCTCAACAAACCGCTTCCTGAGGGACATCGGCTTCACAGCAGCAAAGGCCAGGAAGGTCTTACAGGATCTCTCAGAGGAAGCAGAAAAGGGAAGTTTCTGGCTCTGGCTGAGAAGAAAAGACAGGAGTTGGGGGAATCGAGATGCCACACAGTAAGCCTGAGTGCCGAAGTCCAGCTGCAGGGAGTGGCGGGGAGACGTCCCTGACCGCTGCCCCACCATCCTGAGATGTTCTGGTGATCAAAGGGGCGAAACATCAGTGAAGGATAGCTCCTAGCTGATGACCCTGCAGCTGGTACTTTCTGTACTGGCTGAAGTGGGCCCGATGGAAGCGGCCCATGAGGTTTCAACCTTCGCTTCCCAACCATCAGGTATGCGGTCAGGTGCAAGCCTGGCTCAGGGAGGAGGACGCCCCTGCCATGCAGAGTCTAGGGTCACTACCTGGAGAGGGGCGAGGCCAGGATGGCTCTCAGCCGCAACCCTGCAGTTGGAGTCTAGGCACCGTCGGAGGTGCGTCAGGCAGAAATGCCCTGCAGGTACCAACACCTATCTGTCACATAAATCTGGCCAACCAGCTCTTCTAAAAATGACAAAGACACAGGCTCAAACCTGTCAAGAACTGCAGAACAAGGAACAGGCACAGAGGGGTCGGATGCAGGAGCAGAGATGAGAGACCTGGCAGTCACAACCTTTTAAATAAAAAAGTAAAGAAAACTATTGCACATTTCCACAGATGCCTCCAAGCTGGCAGGCTGTGGGGCGTTAAGAACAGCGTCGATAGTTTTAAACAACACACGTGGGTTATGATGATTTAACTCAACGTTTGCCAGATATTGTCTTTTGCTCTCTTTAACAGTTCTCTGGGAGCTGTTCAAAGAGTCCTTAAGTATTTGGAAAGAAACCTGTAGCTTGTCCTTCTTCCACCTTCGCTCAGCTTTGTGGCACTCTCGTCTGGCTGCGCGAGTTTCTTCATTGAACCAGGGCTCCGATTTAGCCTTTGGCCGAACAGTTTTTAAAGGAGTCACAAAGTCCAGAATGTTTTTACAGGAGGAATGAAACCAGGAGCTGAGCTGAGCTCCTCTGTGTTCGCAGAGGCAGGGCAGACACAGATCTGTTCAAAAGCCACAGAGAAGCGACCAGCAGTGGAGGGGTTAAGAATCCGGCATCTCTGAGCAGGGGCGCCAGATTTAACCTCAGAGCAGGAAAGGTACACTTCAAACAATACAGGCCTGTGATCAGAAAATACATCATCACATATCACCAGGTTAGACACAGGTAAACCATGACACGGCTTTTCTGGACAACACAGGTGAATATTAAAATCCCCAAGAATAAGGACACGATCATAGTTCGGCATAATTTCAGCCAGTAGACCAGAGAAGTCATTCAAAAACTCCTTATTGTATTTGGGGGGAGCGATAAATGACCGCGCACAGCACCGGGTCAGACTGACCCACCTCAAATAAAGTCACCTCAAAGCTTGAGAAAGAGGATGATTCAGTGCGCTGCTTGCATTTAAAGCCATTCTTATATACCGTTGCTGTTCCTCCACCACGACCCGACGTCCGCGGGGAGTTAAAGTAAGAGCAGTCGGGAGGTAATTAACAAATTAACAAATTAACAAATAAGGTATCTGGACCTGTTTTGAGGGCCAAGGTTAAATTACCTTATGTTCCAGTGATATGCTTGCGTGTAAAGCAGTGCCATAAGAAATTGAATGTACTTTCAATGTATGTTTTATTAATTTGACTCAGGCCAGGTGTGACTGGTAAACATTATCCATGACCCAGGTCAAACTTATTGAGCATAGAGATAACTATGACTGTACAGCAGTTGTGCATTGAGCATATCAATACAGACAGTATAAACTCTGCCACCACCACACCTTGGCTTCTACATCATCCTCCCAACAAACAAGGTAAGAAGCATAAATCAGCCACTGTATACATGTGGAATAAATTGACTGACTTTGACTACACAATGTACACATTATGTAATATTTCCTTCTTGAATATAGTTATCACATATAGTTTAAATATTTTTCCTTCTTATTTTATCTTATCTTTAGTCTGCTAAAACAAGTAGTAGCTTCAAACATGACTGTAAAATAAGATGGTTGCACCCATAACATCAGCTATTGGTTTTTCTTATTAACTTCTCTTAACAGTGGTGGTTATAGACATCAAGCCAACATGCCTAAGGCTAAGGGAAAAAAGAGTTTAAATCCTGAGGCACACAAAAGTGCATCACTTGTATGCATACTTCATGTGTCATCCCTGTCAGATCATAGTAATTTCACACCCCTCTCAAAAGTAGAAGGAACCCCTGCAGAAAAACTACAACATCTTCATGATATACGGGACCAATGTCTCCAACAATCTCATGAATCCCCATATCGTGAAATATAGAAATATATATATATATCAGTGGCGATTGCTCTAAGACTGCAAGGGAAGCTCAGCTTCCCTTAAAATGTCACCCCCCCAAAAAAAATCACACTGTGATAAGAAGCTGATAATCACAGGCAATGTTCCCTCTAATTTTTCATGTGTCTGGGCAAACACACAAGCTTCCTGAGCACACTGAAGATCATTGTGAGCACCATCAAATGCGAACGCTGGATGGTGGCCTTACCCTTAGACCGCCGGCGGGAGCGCGCGGGGGGGGGGGTCCGACGCGGCTCGTGCAAGGAAATAAAACAGGTGCCGAAACTATCTGCAGTGCACGATCGCGGCGCTCCTTCTGGTCACCGACCGACACATCACTAGCTTCCATTCAGCGCAGCCTTTAGTTCCCACCGGCCGCGTATTTCTCCGCAGCGCTTCTGCTCCTCCAACTGTTGTTTCAGAGCTATCATGGATATGCCGCTATGTTTTCCTGACTGTATCAAACATGTTTGTCCACTTCTTTTATGTATCCGTGAATGAAAGTCGTCTACAGGGCTATACATACACAGACAGACACACACACACCCGCACACACAGGGACACGGACCAGCGTTGACAACTGCTTGTGTAGATTTACTGTTGTCCATATGTTTTCGCTATCTGTGTGTAGCAAAGGCGTATATTAGACGTCTAGTCTAAATTTATACTTCATTTCAACGTCGGGATTCGGTCTATTTCTAGACGTGATTTATACTTCGCCCTCAACTTCATTTTTCGATAACTTTTTATGCAATAAACAACTGTAATGTGCATAACTGACCTCTTAATACTGGATTACATTACTTATGATACCGTGGAGAGATATGCAGCATAGTATAGATGTAGACGTCATTTACACGTATAAATTTATACTTCATTTCAACGTCGGGATTCGGTCTATTTTTGGACGTGATTTAGACATATAAATTTATACGTCATTTCAACGTCTACATATAGACCGAATCTAGACAATCGATTTTAATCCACACTTCAAGAGTTGATTATTTAAAATGATAACTGAACGTTGCAGAACTGATCTCAATCTATGGGACTACTATCATACTCCTGAGCGTAACCAGTCTTTTCGCCATATCCGGTCAAAACGCATATACGGCAGAAAAATAAAATAAAAAACAACTTCGGATCTTAAAGCCTGGGTCCTGCTGAGTACTCGACAACAAAGTTGGTCGCTGAAATTCAATTTAATTCTTAGATTTCATGTGTTTTATCCGTCTCGGTAACACCGGCTGCCACCGTGACAATAATCCAGCCACCTTGTTGGTGGAGCACGCTCACGTGATCCACCGTGCAACCACTTCTGGTAGATTCTAATTCCGCCAAGAGCAAAGTAGTCCCTGATAAAAGTTATCGGCATAGCCGCAATACTACGAGATGAGCGACAAAAAGTATTTGGTAGCTCTGCAAGAGCCTAGCTTAACACCCGTTTGGAGATCGTACCATAATCGGACCATAACATGAAAACGGCTTCAAATTGTGGACCGCACAACATCCGGCTGAAGCATTGCGCTTTGTACACACTCGACCTCACGACCGTCAGAGTACACCAGAAGTTCCAGGAGTCACGGAGTTCGAGAGTTATACATTCTGCTGAAAAGAGGTGGGGGCTGAAGGAGATATTATAGAAAATGTTTATTTTTGCAAGCTTTGGTCCTCCCACCGTCGTGCATCATGATGCGTGATGGTGAAATGCATTTACAGCAAATGTTAAACTTGAGTTCGCATGTAGCCTGGTTGCTACTACGAGGGCTAGCTTGTGGCTAGTTTAGCCAGCATTAAATAGTCCATGCTAACGTGTGTTGTCATGAAAGTAAATAAGGGCCCGCTCTCTCTGTTGGAGCCAAGTTTAAAAGCTGCTAGTTAGGCTATCCAATTAAATTAGAAAATGAAGCCTATTTTGATGCCAGTACTGTTGTTGTTGTTTATCCAGTGGTATTTTTTCATATAATTAAATTTGTGTTTAACTGTAATTGTCATAGATTGTGTTTTCACTATGTGTGGTAGAAATGGGACGCATTAGTTGAATTATTCCAATAGTAATTTGTTAATGCATTAGCAGTGCTATAGGAAATGCTAATAGTAAAAATCTAAAAGTACTGGTATCGACATATTTTTTACCAAGAGCAAAAGATATTCATTATGCATTATGTCCTGTTTCACAAGTTGCCAATTGTTCTAAAAAAACAAAACAATTTTATAATGGTTGATCTACAAGTTCACACTGCTATTAACATTATTATTTTTCTACTTTCTTTTTTCCATGTGTTTTCTTTCCAGCCAAATTGAATATGGCCTCTAATTATTTGAAAGAGTGGCGGAGAAAAAGAGCTAGGGAGGGTGATTTCATGGATGAATTTTTGAATTGGATTCAAGGTAAGGATTTATCAGGTTTAGCAGTGGTTTTTAAGTAGGGTGGGGGCTATTTTAAAATAGTGCAACAGCATATGATTTTGTGTTTAAAAGCCAAAGTTAAGCACCACACTCATCATCCATTTATTGTCTCGTTCTCGGATTTTGCAGCAAGGAAGAGGGTTTATTCCTACCCAATACCTGAGAAAAGTAAGAGTGGCATAACTACAGTACAAAATGTTGTTAAGTAATGTATTCTAATTATTGAATTGAATGTTACTAAATCATATCTTTTCACCAAGAGTTCCAGCGGGTGGTCGTGGAAACACTTTTGGAAATCTGCGATGAATTGAAATCGCTCAACCAGCAGGGGGACATTGAAGATGAGGGTGAGCAGATACGTCAGTTGCCATTAAGGACTTTGGAGGAGGCTCAGCGCATGTCGTTGGAAATCAGTAGGCACCCCAGCATAAAACGTTTACTGGTAAGTCAAATAGAGATGCTAAAAATGATAGAAATCTATACATTAGACACTCTTGATAATTTGATTATATCATACAGATAAAACAACTGTCACACCTTGGGGGGAAGGACATTAAGACCTGCACACGCAGGATCCTGGACAGGTATGCATATGACAGCAAGACAATGTTATTAATATAATCATGTATTGTTGGTGTTTATCAAGTCTTTCTAGTGAATTGCAAGAGTAAGCAGTATTATGGTGCGTTCACACAGGCACTTGCGCAACGGCAGCGAGGGTTTCTCTGAGGTTTTAGGGAATTGTTCCGCAAATAAAGAGCAGCGCTGGACAAGGTATCCGACGAGATCGAGGGGAAACCTAGAGCGGGTGTGACGTAATGCGCAACGCGAATTGACGGTGGCAAAGTGACACGTTTTAGGACACAAGACAGGACAAGTTGCGTTGCCTGTCCGGTGTGAACGCACCTTAAGAGATTTATTTGTCTTTGATATCCATTTCAGAATTTTACACAATGACGTGCAGAGGAAGTACAACCTCCTGGGTGGAGGACGCCAGGGGAAAAAAGGCTTTAAGAAAACTGCTTTCTTCACAGTTTTTCTTGGTAAGTGAATTATATCTCTGCAAGTTATTACTTATTCTCGGTCATGTTACTGACTCATTTAAAGCCTGAAGCTGTAAAAAAGTGAAGAATCCTTCTGGACAATACTAGATAATTTCTACACTTACTATGATTCAAGTTTCTTTTGTTTTTTTTCTTTTTGCAGAGTCTGTTCGCATCAACTTCCCGACAGCAACAGAGGAACTGGTCGCAGCATCGATTGGGGACCATTTGAAACAGGCACCAGCTCGATGTGGTGGGAGGGGCACCACCACAACACCACCCTGCTAATTTTTTAAAAATATATATCTTAAAATTGTTAATATTTACAGTTCATTTCAGTATAAGTATTACTTAAATTTTTCAGTATGTTGTTGTTCTTGTTCTTTATACTTTGTAGCTATGTTTGTATATAGATATATAGATTTTTTTTCTTTTTTAAATTTTCGTTTTACTAGATGTGAGATTAAAAAATTGTTTTTCCCACTCCATGACTGTAATGGTTATATTCTGAGTGAAAAATGTACTGTGATTTCAATTACAGTTGACTGATCATTGCCAAATGTAGATCAGTGTTAAATTATGAATGAGCATGACTGTAGAAGCTATTCTAAAAGGTCCAGAAAGAGAAGCAACATTGCCAAATTAGAACATCCTGGGAGTACGTGTATCAAGGTAAGCAGCAGGTAACTTTTGGTGTAGAGAATCTGGCTCTACAGATGGTCCCAGCAAGCATTTTGAGGTTGATCATACGTCTAATATACTGTACGTCTAAATTTAAAGTAGACGTCTAGTCTAAATTTGGTATAACAGAGGTATAGAAATGAAAGTTTTTCAACGTCAAACTTTATACTCTTTTTAAACGTTTTGATTTTTACGTTGTTTCACGTGTTTCCTGTGAATATTTTCATCAATTTACATATATCAGATGCTTATGGTAATATGCATTGTTGATATTTAGTAAATTTATTAAAATATTTACAAGAAATGATTGTGCCTTTAGGCATCCGTTGGACCTGTAGTCTAAAAATGGTTTAACAGTGGTATAGAAATGAAAGTTTAATAGACTCGTTCGGTCAGCGCCGTAGGCTGACCGGGGACCTGCGGGCTCCAGCAGCCGCCGCTGTCGGGACCGTCTGCGCGGGGAGGGGTCGGCCGATTTGGACCAGATGTCTAATAAACGTTTAATCAACGTCTGTGTCTATACCTGGGTTTATATTTGGTAGAAGCATGAACGTCATATGAACATCTAACATAAAGACTTTTAAATGAAAACGTCTATTGGACGTCATTTCAACGTTATAGATGGAACAATGTAGAATAAACTCTTTTAAATAACGTATAAATCAAAACGTTTAAACAACGTATAAAGTTCGACGTTTAAATAACGTATACATTTCGATGTTGAAAAAACGTATAAATTTCGACGTTGGAAAAACTTTCATTTCTATACCTCTGTTATACCAAATTTAGACTAGACGTCTAGTCTAAATTTAGACGTATAATAGACATATAATCAACCTCAAAATGCTCGCTGGGTAAATATTTCGAAATAAATATCAGACTTTGATAAAAAAACATTTTAATTTACTTTTTAGGTGACAATGTCACTAGGTGGATACCCGCGGCTTATTTACTGGTGCGGCTTATACGTGTACCAATTTATTTTTTTCCCTAAAATAAGCATCTGCAGCTTATATAACGGTGCGCTCTATAGTCCGGAATTTACGGTATGTAAGCAATGTCAATGCGATGATTGGCTACGTAGCGTAAGTGAACCGTATCACATCATTGGCTGGACATCTATCACTCACTGTGTTAGACATGCGCTGTATAGCTTTTCTTGTGCGCTGATAATGTGTGAGCAGTGCGCGATTGCGCAGGTGCGCAGCTTAGAGGGAACATTGATCACAGGTAACCGGCATAACTTCGTTCTCATTCATCCTCGCAGCGCCTCAGCACTTTACACAGCCGGACACTCAGCATCTGCTGACTTCAATGTGAAAGCTCAAAGTGGGTTGTTCCAGCAGCGAAACTAGAAGCTCATTGGATAAATGCTGGGCTTTGTCCCGCCCATCGGACGCTCAGCCTCTCTGGAGTTCTATGACGATATATAAATATATATGGGGGTGCATAATACCTGTAATAGACAGCTACTCATCTTGGGCTCAAATTGAAGCTTAGGGACATGGGAAGTTTATATATACAAATGAGGCAGTGATATTCACCATAAAGTGCTGGAAATCAATCATCTTTGTTATTATTTGTCAAGCGGACAGTATATTTTTTTGTGTTTCTGGGGATGATGTTGGTCATAATTATGAATACAGTTGTAGCAGGTCCTAAAATCCTATTGGGCTACTTAACCCTATGTCTCAGGATACCCCATGCCAAATTTTAGACTTTCATGTCCAATTATGTAATTTTAGTGAATTAATATTTGCCTTAACACAATTTCGCTGGAGCCATGTACCAAAAAGTGGGTTTTTGGGGGTTTTGGGGCAGATGGGACATTCTGAGAATTTTTTATCATAGCTCATCATTTTCAGCACATTTTTTCCTATAGAAAAACACTGATTAGAAATATATCTCCGGGGGGTGCACTGAACCCCCTTCTTCCAACTAGACTAAAAAGTCTTGGGGCACACGTTGCTGATGTGGGATTTGATGTTGATGCTGATGAGCCTTGATGTGATGTACTTTATGACGTTTAAAATTTATGTGCTTCACCCTTTTCAGCTCAGCATTTTTTATTGTGCTTGCATTCCACTCTCTCTGTTCATCAGTGCATGATATCCCTGTCTTTCCCTGTCTGACTGCATTCTCAACCTGAATTTAATTTTTTTAATAATCCATTTTTTTAAATTAAACAAAAGCACTACACATCATTAAATGCAATAGAAGGGATTATTAAAACTATCACAAAAATCAATATTTACCTTCCAGAGGATGGCAGCAGCGTGGCTGCAAGATCTGCCTTGACCTGCAGTACATGTGCACCCTGCTGTTTGAATTTCACCTGTTGTTGACACTAACACCCAGGCTTGATGATATGGTACTCTGAGGCTTTGGCTGGGCTGTACGTCTGCCTTCAGGTAAATAAAAATTTTGTCCCATCTCTTTCAGCAAAACACGACCAACCTTATTACTGTGCAAGTACTGATACGCCTTGGAGCTCTTGAGATTATTCATTGCCTCACCATCCGAAGCAACTGAGTTAATCAAGTAGCTGAAAATGCAACAGTAGGTGATCTTGGGCCACTTTTTCATACCAACCTCCCACCCCTCGACACTAGAGGGCAGTGGGATTGTAAGTTTATCTTGTCTGAGCCCCGACAGATGAGCTGCGTCCGAATTGCCAAGTAGTAGTCGAAGTAGTAGTCGAAGTAGTATCTAGCATGTCCGAATTGGCCACCGGAGCGAGTAGCATGCTACTTCAGATACTACTTCAGATACTAGACACGCCCACATTGTAGGTTGGTCGCGGTGCATCCTACGGGCATGCTACTGACCCAAAATGCACCGCGGGCTTCTTCTTCGTCCTCTTAAAAGTTGTAGAAGCGCATGTGATGCTAGCGCCACCAGCATAGATGTGTCGCGAACGCCGGCTGGCCACAGCAGCGTGCACCATGTCGGAGCAGCAGCAGGCGGGACCGCAGCAGTACAGATGTAAGTTTCATGTAACTTCACACACTGTCCTAAAAAATGTGCGGTTGCATCTCTTTGTCATGTCATGGTGTCATATTTGCCCAAGTAATCATTTTATGAGCAAATATGTGGCGACATCATGGAGGTAATGCTCACTTATTCCATCATTAAACTGCACAGCTGCAGTACTACAGCCAGGCCCGCAGATGAGGGGCTTCAGTTACCACTGTCTGCACGGGCGCAGTACCTACTCTCTGCCTGCGGGGGTCGTCTTTCCCCACCGCTCGTCTAGTGTGTCCGAATTGGGCCAACGTGTTTAGTATGTAGGAGTAGGATCTAGCAGTAGTATGTAGCAGTAGCATGTAGTATCCGAGCAGGCAATTCGGACGCAGCATTGATGTTCCTGTGGTGAGACGCCTCCTCCTTTTGTGTTTTTTTGGATGGACTTCCTGTGTTTACGTGTTTGCCTGTGCTGCATCCGAATTGCCAAGTAGTAGTTGAAGTAGTAGTCGAAGTAGTATGTAGCATGTCCGAATTGGCCACCGGAGCGAGTAGCATGCTACTTCAGATACTACTTCAGATACTAGACACGCCCACATTGTAGGATGGTCGCATTGCATCCTACAGGCATGCTACTGACCCAAAATGGGTCACCGCGGGCTTCTTCTTCGTCCTCTTAAAAGTTGTAGAAGCGCATGTGATGCTAGCGCCACCAGCTGCTCTGCCTATTTAAATGCGTCGCGAACGGCGGCTGACCACAGCAGCGCGCACCATGGCGGAGCAGCAGCAGGAGGCAGGACCGCAGCAGTACAGAGCAAACATGTGGCGACATCATGGAGGTAAAGCTCACTTATTCCATCATTAAACTGCACAGCTGCACTAATCAGGCAGATCTCATTGAACAAACGATCACCACGTGAGTGAATGAAGGCTAAAAGTAATGGAAAAGCTACTTTGTGAATTTCTAAAGCAGTGCAGGAATATAATACAGCAGCATCCATCACTTGCACAATTACCATTCAAAGAGTCTAAAACGGGCGCAGTACCTACTCTCTGCCTGCGGGGGTCGTCTTTCCCCACCACTCGTCTAGTGTGTCCAAATTGGGCCAACGTGTTTACTATGTAGGAGTAGGATCTGCAGTAGCACGTAGCAGTAGCATGTAGTATGCGAGTGGGCAATTCGGACACAGCACTGGTCTGGCTTTACTCTCTTCCAGAGCTTCCTCCCCTCCCCCAGTCGCTGAGGCTGAGTGAGACTACACACCTGCTCTACATCTGCAATCAAGGCACTTCAAGAAGCCAGCAGCCCTCAGTCTCAGCGCCTGAGTATTGTCTTCACTTTCAATTGGTATAGACGCGTCTCCTGGCCTCCTTCCTTTAAAATTAGTATTCGTAATTCTGCTCCTGATTCATTGGCCCAATTCCAAACTCCACCCTAAGCCCTCAAGCCCTGCACCCTCATTAGCTTAGGTTAAGTCAGCTGGTAAGTGCTTGAGTGTGGGAGGGTTTAAGGGCTCCAAAAGGGTATAAAAGCAATGGAACAGCCCTTTGTGACGTGCCACGTTACCTTGACGACAGATGACAACGTTGCAGTGACAACCAAAGACGCGACTGACACTTGCCTCTCTGGGCCTCTCAATTCTGCATTTATTTCGCGGCCAGCGACGTCACAGAAGAAAGGCCAACATTATTCCACTCCTTTTGCACACACTTGCTCTTGAACATAGACAACAGGTAATTGGTAAATAATGATTAGATTGATAAATTATAAAACCAGCATTAATGATAGGTTAAGTGATATTGAATGGTTAAAAGGTTGAAGCACTAGATTCTGAAAGTAATTACTGCTTTAGAGTGTTAGTTCAGTATAAAATGTATTGATTCAGATAAAAGTTTGAAGTAAAAATCAATTTTCTTTGTTATAAGAATAACGCATGCGTGTGTGTATGTGTATATATACACACACACACACACACACACACACACACACACACACACACACACACACACACATGTATATATACAGTACAGGCCAAAAGTTTGGACACACCTTCTCATTCAATGTCTTTTCTTTTTTTCTATATGACTATTTACATTGTAGATTATTACTGAAGGCATTAAAACTATGAATGAACACATGTAGAATTTTGTACTTATAAAAAAAGTGTGAAATAACCGAAAATATGTTTTATATTCTAGTTTCTTTAAAATAGCCACTCTTTGCTCTTGATGACAGAAGTACCTTGTCAGGGTTACTTCAGGCACACCTGTGAAGTAAAAACCATTTCAGGTGACTACCTCATGAAGCTCATTGAGAGAACAGCAAAATTTTGCAGCGCTATCAAAAAAGCAAAGGGTGGCTACTTTGAGAAATCTAAAATATAAAACATGTTTTCAGTTATTTCACACTTTTTTCTTCAGCACATGATTCCACATGTGTTCATTCATAGTTTTGAGAATCTACAATTTAAATAGTAATGAAAACAAAGAAAATGCATTGAATGAAAAGGTGTGTCCAAACTTTTGGCCTGTACTGTGTATATATATATATACTTGTTCATCTTGGCATTCCAGCGCCCACCATACACGATGCGGAACATCCATGTTAGAGTATTAAGGGTGCACCTAGATCCTGAATGAACTGCTTCTTTTTGAGCTTCTTCGCCATGATCTCCGTCATTTTTGGTGTCTGTCGCGGACGATGAGACGCTTGTGGCCTCGTTCCCTTTTAAATCCTGGCCCCGGCTGCGTCGGCGTCCTCCGGTAACGCCCACAACGCAATGAATTGTGGGCAATTTCATAGCCAAAGTCTCCAACGGTACGGACTTACGGAAAGGGTGCAGAAAGGGGCGTTCCGGAGCCCTCGCTGACTTACCGATTTCATTTGGAACAACCCTCAAGCCCTTACAGAGCTCACATGAGCGCGCACCTAAGTCAATGAGTCAGTGAGGGGGTGGTTTGGAATTGGGCCATTATATGTTCACTCACTTCCCTCTCCTCTGTTTTTCCTGCAGTGCCTCCAGCCCACACGACAGCCAGCCAACCAGCCTATCGGACGCAGTATGGGTCATGAGTCCCACCTCCTCCATGTAAACAGATGGGACATGGGTCAATTCTAAAACCCTGATCCAGGTCAAATGAAAGTTTATCAAACAAGGTTTCTGTCTGAACAGTTTCATGACGTTTTTTGTTCCAGTGTTCAACTTTCTGATGAGTATTTGAATTAATTATCTAATGCTCTAAAAACATCTCTGACACCATGACTAACAGCTCTTTTGACCAATCAGTATGTTAACATGCAGTTTAAAAAGCAGATTTCATTGTATTAGTCCAACTGAAACCAGACTTTAAATCAAGTAGACATGTTAGCCTGGCTTTGATTGCACAAGATCAAATTTCTCATTGTCGCATTAACATTCCTGATAACATAATTGTAAGTCTTTTTTCTCTGTTTTGTTAACAGTTTAAACAGACTGAAACTGACCTGAGTGATCTGAGCATGCTCCAGAGTTTACATGCCATGCTCTAAGCCTTAAATAGAACTGTAGATGTGTTGAAAGAAGGAAGGATGGTAAACAAAACCTCAAGATGGAGAAAGAAAAGAAAAAGACAAAACTTTCCAAATTGCACATGGCTATAAAGGTGACCACTTTTTTGTTGTTCGACATACTTCCTATCAGCCTCTTCCGAATACGCATTGCCTACTGTTAGGATACGTGGTGATACATCAATATTTCATATGTATGTATATATCACACTCACCAGCCACTTTATGGTGGTCAAGTGGTCAATAGAGGGCGCCACCCCCTCTGTTTCACAGCATGTTGAATCACACAGCGCTTCCTTTAAATAAAACGTTTTTTAAAATGACTTTTACATGTTTATGGCGCTATGTTTTAAAAAGTCAAACTGAATAATATAGTCTGGAGAGGTATTGAAAGGTACAATTTGCAATAAAATGTCAGTTTTGAAATGTTCTACATTGCCTACAGTTACAATAGTTGACATATAGCCAGGGGCACACAAATCTTTCCCCATTAACTCTCATTATAACTTCGACATGGACAGTTTGTTCCTCTTCAATACAGCAGATTGGAGACAGCAGGCGTGCTGTCTCCTACCTGTTCTCTGGTCCTCTGGTCGCTTTACTTTACTGCTTTTCACCACCAGTCATGGAGTGGCAGCAGAGTGCGAGTGGTTTGTTCACCTGCTTGCCTGTAAATAAAACCACCAAATCAGTGACGTTGAGTGTTCAATGCAGAGTGTTGGAGTATTTAGCAAGCAAAATTTTTAGCAGTTGCAGAGAGAGCCGAAAAAGGAAAAAATGAGAGAGAGAAAGAGAAAATTCAGTTAAGTCACTGAAAGCAATGCCATTTGAGAGCAGAACACTGCAGGAGAAATTGAGGGTGAAGAAGCTTGGACCTGACCTACCGGACAAATTAATTACACAGCAGGTTGAAGACAGAGGGACAAGATATACGTGGTCTTTTTTATGGAGCTGGTATGAGAAGATCTCTTGGCTAAGTGAATGCAGTGAGGCAGGTGCTTTATTTTGCTTCCCTTGTCTGCTTGTCCAAACCATGGGAACTGATCAAGCCTGGATTCAGACAGGTATGGTAGATTTATAGCATTTTTCTGAAAAGTTAATATAGTTAATATAACTATTGGGTTAATATAAATGTTATCTCACAGAAGAACTTTGGGCCTTATTGTTTTGAGTATTTTTTTTTTTTTTTACAAAATGTCCAATTTTTGTTGGTTTCTAGTGTATGGATATTCTGTTTTCTTTTTTTATTTGCGTATGTAAATATAAATATGTTGTTGCAACAATAAGCTGGACAGGGGAAGCACTTTACACTCTTGGAAGCTGTGAAAATGTTTTTTGCTTTTTTTACTTTTGAATGAAAAAAGTAACAGATTTATCCATTCTTGGTTTGTTTGTTAATGGAAAAGGAGATTTTATGAGTTTGAGTATTACACCTTATCTGGAGCAAAGCATATCAAACACTGGGGAGATAAATTCAAATTCAATAACTGGTAACATTTGCCTGCATTTAATTATCTATTTTACTCAGCAGTGCTTAGGTGTACCCTGGTAGGTATACTGTACATAGTAATAGCACATCAAATAGTTGTGAACATAATGTACATTAATTCTAGTGTTTAGGCATTGCTGTCTTTGCTTTTTGGTTTGGTAAATTAAGTGTGCCCCCCCCCCCCCCCAAAAAAAAAAAAAAAAAGAAAAATTCACCAGCCGCCACTGATAGAAATAACCACTCATTACAACCAAAGTTTGCAGAATAGCCTCTCTGAACACACAGCACGTCCAACCCTCAAGCAGACAGACTACAGCAGCAGAAGACCACATCAAGGACCACTCCTGTCAGCTTAGACCAGGGGCCTCCTTTATAAAACAGTACCTGGATCACTGCAGGTGGCTTAAGCCAGAAACACCTGAAATATGTTTGCACAACAACTATCAGCTTTATAAAAGAGTGCACATGCACATCTTACGCCTGTTTACATTTATAAATCGCAATCAACTCTAAAGTTCCTGCACATGAGGGAACGCTTTGCCCTGCCCATATCGTGCCTGTGAAAGGGCAGGTGAATGCCCTGGATTCACTGATACCAATTTCATGATGGATTTTGTGGGAAAACAAGGGGGGAAAAGGCAACTTCATTAAATGTGAGGTCAAAAATTTAAACAGTGAGGAGAACACACACAAAAGAGTCTTATATTGTGGGCAGTGTGGGCATCGCTCATGCTAGAAAGGCTAAGTGGAAGCATGTGGCTGATGCTGCAAATAATGTTGCCTCAATGGGTCTGACTGTGGCTTAAGTTTTAATAAAAAAAAAAGGTACAACCAGTGGCGGTTCTAGACCAAATTACTCCCCGGGCGAGCACCCCCCCCCCCCCCCCCCCCACACACACACACACACACACACACACACACACACACACACACACACACACACACACACAAAAAGAGATAGAATTTTGAACAGATAGTTTTGTATTACTATGTATTATTATTATTATTATTATAACAACAAAAATAAAATATTTCTCAATTGCAGAAATCCTTCAATAGAAAAAAACACAATCCTGAGGGCCATTTTGAGAAGGGCCCCCAGATCCTGAGGTTTTCTGAAGTGTTGAGGTTTACAAAAAAGCTGCTATCTCTGCCTCTGTAGTAGATAGAAACAAAATTCAAAAAGTATTTGAGAGCTTAAACATGTGGCTTTCAAGAAAGCTCTCTTTTAGTTTTGCGAACCTTTATCACATTTTTTAAAACCTTGAACAAACAAACTTAAACAAAATAAAGCTGCTGTATAAATAAAAGTAAAGGCTCTGCACTGGAGAATGACAAATAATTTGTTTTCTGTAAAACAAGTGGCAGTCATGATAAAGTGTCCATTCAATACAAATGTAAATATAGAAAATAAGGTGTTGAAAGGGTATACAGCTGCCCCAGTATAGTGCCAGTACAAAAGCAGAACTAAAAACTAAAAAATGAATAAATAAATACGTGGCTGACAGTGTGTTCATCTCTGTTCTCACCCAAAGTCATGCGACTCTCACAGAAAACGCTGATAGTGTGAGCCAAAGCACTCCATATGAAGAGGTTGTTCACACTGCTGGATGTTTCTCCTCTGAAGCTGCTCTCTGCCTCCAGCATTGTTTACTTCACTCATGAAGCTCATCAAGCACGTAGCAAGATCCGAGCATGAACCCGAGCGCTTTATTCGTCTATCAGAGGCAGACGGGTACGGTGATTTCATTCACCACGACTCCAGAAATGATTAAAAAACTACAAAATGACGTATCCGCGCTCCCACTGATATGCTGACATGCGTACACAGAGCAGAGCAGTCCCCCCGCGACTATCTCCCCGCCTCGTCTCATACAGTCTGTCAGCCTCTGTGCAGCACCTCCGGAGCAAGCAGGGGCGCCTACAGCAGCGGGGGGGGGGGGGGGGGGGGGGCGCCAATTTGACAACAAGAGTTAATACAAAACCGCTTTGCGGTTAAGATTTATTATTATTATCTTTTATTTTATTTTTTTGGAAGTGCTCGTGCCGCCCCCCATTAGTCAAGACACAAATGCCGCCCCGGGCGGCTGCCCTGTTCGCCCGTGCCTAGAACCGCTACTGGGTACAACATAAAGGTGGACACGGCACATGGCAGCTGGAACTGGCCAGTAGGTCTTTCTGGTTTCTGGTACAATTAACCTTGTACTAACCATAACAAAATAGTTTACACAATTATCATGAAAATTAAACTTAATTTGTATGGCACATTTTGGGAGCATGCTTACTGTCCATTGTCTATGTGAACAAACTAAGGGTTTATGCAGGAATCCTGATATTAATTAAAATACTTTTTCAAGGCTTTTTCAAAACCCTTTCAAAAAATTTAAAGACCTCATCGCCACTTTAAGCAATTGTTAGCAACACATCTTTGTGCCCTGGGAGGAGAGGATGGAGGAAGCCAGCGGGAGGAAGAGGGAGAAGTACGCCGAGCTGGTGGAGGACTGCCGCAACAGGGGGTGGCATGCAAGATGCTTGCCCATTTAGGTCGAGGGAAGGGGCTTTGCAGGGAAGTCACTCTGCAGGGCCTACAGTCTCCTAGGCATCACAGGGGCACGTAAGAGGAGAGCCATCTGCCCAGCTTCAGAAGCAGCTGAGAAAGCATCATGATGGCTGTGGATTCAGAGGGACAAGGCTTGGACGAGCACTTCTTGGACACAGGCCGGGAACTGATCACTCCTGGTCGGGTCGCCTGGGTGAGGGGGTCTGTAGTTGAAAGATCCGAAACCCCCCCCGACCCCAGGTACTATCACTGATGATGTGTCCAAGATTCTGCATCGCAAGATGTATTGAATAACTGTATCATTCTGGCGAGGCCAGTGATGTCCAGGAAGAGACTGGGTGACGACCATGAACAGAGTGGTGACAGCTTGGAGAGACAGCAGACAGCACGGAAAGACGGCAACTGGGGCAGGAAGGGCCAGCAACCCGCCCTGCATCTTCTGTGAGGAAGAACCCCTAC